AGGTCACTCTTCTGTTCTCTTTCTTAGTATAAAAATAAACTGCAGTTGGAGAGGTTTTACACCCAATATGCTAGCAAGAACGTACCTTTAAAAAAACACACTAAAAAGTATTAGTTGATTTGCTTTATCCAAAAAGTATATTCCTTAAAAAAAGTTTAAATTTATTTTTCAATTTTTATTATTTGTTTTTATTGAGGTTTAATTGACATACAACATGTTAGTTTCAGGTGTGTAGCATAATAATTTGATGTTTGTATACACTGCAAACTAATCCCCACAATGTCTAGTTAACATTTGTCACCATACACAGCTACAATTCTTCTTATTGTAATGAGAACCTTTAAGATCTACTCTCTTAGCAACTTTCAAATATCCAATAAGTACATTCCTTTTTTGACTTAGTGTATTTAAGTGGGATGAGTGGTTCTGAGTCTTAGAATCAACCGATCACGTTTAAACAGTTGAGTTGAATAAGAATTTTCAGTGCCAATCACAGAGAGCCTTCACCGAAGAAGCCACCCCTGGTGAGGCTCACCTGGCTCCTACCACTCTGGTATGGCAGGCAAGCGAGAACATGTTTTCCACTTGTACATGCATTGCTTTTTAAGTGCCTTTGTTGCTTCATTTGTCCTTTCTATCTTTACTATCAAAATAGGTAATAATTATTGGCACAGATTTCTAAGTAGCAGAGTCCTATATGACTGCTTACTGGGCATTTGGGAAAGATGCTTCTGGGTAATAGTCACTCCACTGTTAGAATTTTATTTTTAGGGGATTAGAAAGCTTTTCTTTCAAGGGTCCTTCAATATGAATATTATCTTAGAAGAGAACACTTTTAATTCTTTATTGGATTAGTGATTGACTGGCCATCTGCTGAGAGTAAGACAATGAAGAAACTGTAAACAGGAGTGGATTTAGGAGGAAGGAATTAGAAACTCTCAGAGAAAGTGGATAAACGTACTCATGTCTGTGACTTGCTAAAGTAACAAATGTTTTTGATGATTTCTGGTGCCAAGTCAATGAAATACAGGAAAATAAAGTTCAAATGCATTTGGACAAAAGCTTAATTTATCTTCTGCCCCTTTCTGTCTTTGACTTTACCATCATTTATTAAGTTGTCTAGCCTCATATTCTTGGATGCTTTTTTGACTCATATCTGCCTCATTCCCTCTACATAGTAGAGTCCTATTGCTGTTCCTCGATTTCTCACATCTATTGCTTCTTTATTCTTTCCTCCAGTCAAAGTCCCTTTTAATTTTCTTTTAGAGTGTCATAGTAATATTCCAACTTATTTCTGGAATGCTTCTTTTTCTCTACTAGTCCCACACTTCCACAACCCTCCAAACCAGATTCATGTTCTATTTTCCAATTCTGGACATACTGCTCTCTTGCCCTAAAATTTCCTGATTTTGTCTGGCCTTGTAGAATAACTATAAACTTTCCAAATTGGCATAAATGATGCTCCAAACTACATTAACAATTTAAAAAATGATTTTCCCCATTATTTATCCTATGGTAATGTGTGGAGCATATCATGGGAGCATAATCAGGACAGGTATTACATGTCTGCTAAAAAAAATGAACATTTCTTGTGTTTTGGTCAAGCTTGATTGTTCACTGATACCTCATAATGCTACATATGTCAACATCTCAGTCCTTTTTGCTCAGGATGTAGGAGACACTTATATCATAAAATGTTTCTAGATGGATTCACAAATATGTTATCTTTCTATTTTTGCCTATCAGTATCCCCAAAACCTTTCACAACTCCATCATAAGCCATCACAATCATGTCACTCCCAAAATCTTCCTTGTTCTCATGTCCAAATGCTCCTAGCTGCTCTTTAATGTACTCTTGCTCTTGGTTTAGCATCTCCCATTATGCTGTCTTCCCTCTTCTATGTAGTATAGTTTTTTGCATGTTTAGGAAACATTCTCTTTCTCTACAACTTGAGAACAAACTTCTGTGAGATAGAGAATTTTCTTACCTACAACACATGATTTACTAATCTATGCGATTAATTTCAAGGGTTTTTCCATTTATTTGCTTGTTTCTTTTTTGTAACAATTGCTGTTGTTCTTGCTATAGCAGGGCCATTTCTTCCAATGTAATCTTACATGGAAATTTGTAAAAGAGGGGGGAAGATAGACTCACTCTGGTTATTTTTCCCAAATATCGCCTTTCTAACTACCCCTTGCTGACTCTAAAGAATACTTATGGCTCTGCTCAATCTGGTCTGAAAACTACAGTATTCAGTTTATATGTTATGGTCAAGCAGGGAGAAGCCTTTTAATATCACCACCTCAGTTATTTATCTAAAAACTTAAATTTGTGGTTGGAATAAACTTTTAAGAGAAGAATACATGAAGATGTAAGTGGGCTAGTGGTGAAGTTATGTGTCATACCATTGCATTGTCCTTTTGACAGTTTTCACCGCTGATAAATACCATCGTCTCTGTTGGAAATAATCTAGATATTGAAGAAAAGGAAGTTAAGTGGGTGACTCAATAGAGTTAGATGTTTTCAGCAATAAATGGCTTAGAAAGTGCAGAAAGGTTTCTCCATACTCCCATGACTTTTAAAAGAAGAGAGCTGAAATATGAGAAAGCTGGCATTTTGCATGCATGCAGGATCAAAGGGAGAGATTGATAGATTGGCTTGGGACACAGTATTCTGTTGTACTCTGAAAGGTTTGGGTCATCACATCTAGACGCAGGAGCAGGACTCAGATAAAAATAACCCTGGCTGTGAGGGAAGAGGTGGGGTTTGGCAGACAATGTTTCTATATGTGGGGGAAAGGTTTCTTTGCATGGCAGAAGAAAGTTGTCTTGAATTCTGACCTGAAGAGGTGCTAAATTCTGCTCACCTCTAGAGCTATTGCAATTCAATTATGAAGGGCAAAGAATACTCCTAATACAAAATGATATTTTGGAAAAGGAAGAGTGAAGATGAAAGGGAGGTAAAAGAAAAATATGAGATATTTGCTCTTAGCATATAAAAATTTAGGTCTTCACCAAATAAAGCATTCTAATAGCAACTCATCCTTCACAAAACTATGTCTGCTACTCAGTTTTCCTCTTCATGTTTTTCCTTCCCTTACCATTCCTCTTCCTCTTCCTCTTTTCCTCTTTATTCTCTTTTCTGTCTACCTTTTTATTTCATCTATATCAGTATGTTGGGTGGAATATTTTCTATTGTCTGTTGTCTAGGAAATCCTGCTAAAGCCCTAAAACTGTTGCAAAACAGCCTGGCGATACCATTAGCTTTCTAAGTAGAGCAAGCAAGAGATAGGCCCTCATCCCAGACTGTCTAGACGTAGTCGAGCAAGCTGAGCTGCCCTAATCTAGTCACCCCTCTCCAGCCTCAATCAATAGAAGATTAAGTGTATGAGGAGGGTGCTGTAATTCAGTGACCGAGTAGAGAACATTTATAAGGCCAACTCTCAAAGATAATTATTAACAGAGATAATTATTCATTGAATCTAAAAGAGGGAGAGAATGGCATTTTATTCTTCAGGTTAATATCTGCTTATGAATCCAGCTTTCTGACCCCTTCTGTGTCTGTGTGAAGAGGTGGAGAAGAGAACTGTTAAGAGACCCCAGGAAGGGGTCAGAAGCAAACCAGTAGTATTGGCACTCAGTTGTTTAGAGTGGTTATGAGGCTTGAATTTCCTGTGGGTCAGTTGGTAGCTGGCTGACCTTGAGCCAGTTTTCTGCAGTAGGGTGCTCCTGGGACTAGGGAACAGCAGAAGAGGCTGTGGAGAATGCTGCAGATATCAGAGCTGTGGGCTGGGGGGAGGAATCAAGCCAGAGCATTTTCCTGATACAGAAGCTATAGAGTGCAGTGTCCCGATTTGTGGATGTCTTGGAAAATCACAACAGAGACACTTCCCACTCAGAGGGAGTTCAAGGTTAATCGCTGTCACCAATGAGAAGACAACAAAAGCACCACATAAGTCATCAAGACTTTCTCATCTCTCCTCATCCTGTACCCCAACCAGCATCGCCAGAGGAAATGAGGTCTAGGAGAGGGAGGGAGAAAGAAAGTGTGCAGAAAGGGACCACATCTACTTTCCCCATTAGGTTCCTGAACCTTAATAGGGGAGAGAAAAACATTAGAGGCTGAATATGGGGTGGAGCTGAAACCTGTCTGGACTGGACTTGTTAGACCCAGAGTGATTTAAACATATGGAATGTACCCAAGACGGTACTAAGAAGATGGGAATTCAGTGGAGCATGGTTAAAGACAGCCACTGGAGAAGGCTAAGGCCATTTCGTGTTTGTATCTGCTGCTGTCTGAATGTTTGTGTTACCCCAGAATTCAAATGTTGATACTCTAATCCCCAAAGATGATAATATTAGTAGGTGGTGCCTTTGGGAGGTGATTAAGTTATGAGATTTGGTCCTCATGAATGGAATTAGTGCTCTTATTAAAGAAACCCACAAGGCTCTCTAGCCCCTTCTGCCATGTGAGGATATAATGAGAGGTCTGTGACCCAGGAGAGGGCTCTCACCTGACCATGGTGGCACCCTGATCTTGTACTCCAGCCTCCAGAACTGTGAGAACTAAATTTCTGTTGTTTATGAGCAACCCAGTCTATTGTATTAGCCAGAGCAGACTAAGACAGTATCCTAATAATTTGCGACTGTTTAGTAAACCTCATGCTACTTGGGTGCATTATAATTTCATAGTACTTAAACTGTCTGTCATAGCACTGTGAAAGTTAGCTGATAGGATATGGCTGGCTTTTATAAAGAATCCTGAGAATTCAATCTTCTTGCTAGCATACCAGCATGATTAATAATTATCAAAGTCTTTGATTCTGATAACTCAACCCACAATGATTTACTGTGATTCTAAAGTCAGCTGTTAATTGTCTTATTTGTAATGCTAGCTTCTGCTATTTGTGACACATTTTAATAGGAAATTCTCAATGATGGTGATGAATTTTCTTTTGATTTTCTGTTAAATGAAGATAAGAAACTTTGACAAATTGCTTTTTTAGATTTTGACATCTCTAAGAAGTCAGTTTTTATTTTTTAAGACAAGACCCATTACACCAAGCATGCATTAAAAAGCTATAAAACTAAAAGAAGCTTGCTATGCGATGGATCATTAAGAACCATCTCAGAAATAGATGGAATGGATGTGAGCTTAGCAGTTGCTGTCGTAGATGATTCGGCACTTCAGGAGCTTGAGATAGTTGTCAATCTTATGTGAATCCCTGCGTAGGCAGTGGAGCAGGTTATAAAAAGCAAAGAGGCGAGCGTCTTCGTCGGCCATCTGCAGAGATGGAAGTCCTGACCAGACAGAGTAGACCTCATTTTCTTTTACTCCAGGATGAACCTAATAACCAAAAGGATAGTGATTTATTATTAAGATTACCAGTATTGGCTTATCTTTGTTCTTTCTAATTGTTGAATTAAGATTCCTGAAAGAGACATGAATGAAAAACTCTCCAGACACGCATGGATTATTGAGCCAGTGTATCAGGAATCTATTTATAGTTTTAAAACTAGAAGCACAACTCAAGTGTAAGTGTTCTCACATGTCTGTGATCATAGATGAAGTGTGCTTGTGCAGGAGTGGCTAGGCAGAGAACCAGAAAGTTGCTATTTGAATATAGACCTGAATGTGACAAAGGGACAATGGAAGAGCCAGCCTCTGTTCTCTCACTTCAGGGACCACTTCATTTTCTGACTCTTGTCTCTGATGTGCACTATGTACTTTATTTCTTCTGAGAGGTCACAATAATTACACTGATCTTTTTCCTGCTTTGAACAGATTCTATTCTCCCTATAGTATATGTACCAGAGACACTAGAAACGATGAGGATTGTACTTTAAGATGCAGATTATCTAGTGACGACTAAGACTAAGACAATCTGCTGAAGGAGTCAGGAGACTTTCACAATGCACCCAGGACAGATAACCCCCAAATTTTTAATGAGGGATAGTTGCTTTCTTTTAAGGTCAATGGAGTGGGAGATTCTGGCAAAAGTGCCTATGAGAAAGGGGGAGTTGGCAGCAACCCACCAATAGTGAGGGTGAGTGGTGGGTGGGAGCACAACTGTGATAACAAAAGGCCACTGAGCAGTGTGAAGGAGGAGCACATGGTACTCAGAGCTCTGGCAGCCTCTGCTTGCTGGGAGTCCCTGGGGACTTGAGAGGCCTAGTAACAGCTTGACAACCCGGCTGTCAGCTAGTCTGGAGAGCTAGGAGGTACAAATGTGGGGTGACTGTAGATTCTGATGGCTAAACTAACTTTCTCCTGCACAGTAAAAATATTTTTTTAAACCTGAGATTCCTAATGGAATTTAAAGTGTGTGTGTGTGTTTGCATTTTTCCCTCTTTTTGGTGCCAGACCCCTATGACAAAACAGAGACAATGATATGAACAAGAATAAATGAATATGTGGTTTTTTAACAAGAACAAAAAATGAAATATAGAACAAATTAGTGACCTCAGAGAGTAGGCCCAGAGTAATGAAGAAAATCACTTGAAAATAGGTGTTTATTTCTTATGTCCCAAGGCTAAAATGTGCTTTGTATTTGTGTTGGATACATTCTTTCCCTATGAAAATGACCAAATGACACATGATAACGTGTACTTTGTACACAATAAGAAAAATATAAAAATGCTCCTGTTATTATTTCTATAATCATATATTTTTCTTTAGATGGTACATTATTCCTGAGAACTTCAGAAAGGTGTTCAGATATTACCTCACTCCTGTTGAAATGATCCCATCTAAATGGAGATATATATTGTAAATGTTACCTCAATCTAAATGTGACAAATTATTTGGGGAGATTAAATGCAATGTATGAGTTTCATTCTTGGAGCCCCCCAAAAGAAGATGTAGGATGATGCAACCCTTTATAAATTACAAAATAAGGAATATTTCAGAAAAGACACCCCCCTTCTTTTGTAACCCACCAAAATCTACTGATTGTTGAGACAGCATTGACGCCATGACCTCATCTTTTCTATCTCCCTCCTTCTCTAACATATATGTCTAGAAGAGTGGATAGAGGTATGGGGGGTAAACGCCATCCAATCTGATCTTGATCTTCTATTTTCTCCATTTCCCCTCATGCTTTGGTGTGGGGAGAAAAGAAAAAGAATCTTTGCAGAATTTTAATAACAGGTGTCCTAGAATACTTTGAGGAAAACATTTCACTTGCAGATTCTATTCTCTTTCCCTTGAAATTATTTTAACTGCCTGTCCCCAAGAAGGGCCCAGGCTTGGATGGATTTGTCTGCAGTGTAGGGAAGTCTTCACCTGTCAGATATGACAGTGGAATGCTAAGATTCACTTATAGTAAAATCTATCACTACGTATTACTTGGCTCTTGCTTTATTTAATAGCGGTGTAGAATATAACATGCCTAAATGTTCTTACAAAGTGAGGTATTTCCAAATGCATTCCTCTTCACAGAGCTCACCTCTTCCCTTAACAGGGAAAACAAGTGTCAGGAGGCTGCTCACCTGGCCGACTATCTTCTCCATTCCCTCAAGAAGTTGTTTGTTACGTTCCTCAATCTCTATGGCTCTTGATAGGATGGCATCTGGGGCTTCTTGCATACCACGTACTTCTGTGACTAGATGATAGAGAGGCTCATTCCAGGAGCGCAACACTCTGAGGACCAGGTATAGAAGGTCTTCGTGCTAAGTAACCATTAAAATAAGCATAGAACAATGGATTACATGTGATTTTTGCTCAGAGAGGCTGACCTAAATATCTCTTTGTTATTTCCACGCATATGTAAAGCTGTTTGTAGGTGGTACAAGTTGTAAAAATATAAAATTTAAGCTATTGGCTTACACTTTGATAACATTTTAAAAAATTTGCCTTATTTAAGTAGCTACTTCTTTTAATGGGAGTTCTAATTTATAACATGAATAATTTTGTTTTTCTTCTGAAATTCTACCATGTGCCCACACAGAGAATTCTTTTTATATTTGACTGCTTTGCTTGTCCATGGGGAGAAACCAGAGTTTTGTTGGAACTTCATAAGTTCCACCAGTGTCAATGACAAAGAGCTCAAATCCTATCATTTAAGGATTCATTCATATTAATGAATCAAATTATTTGTTAATGCATTGATTTGTGATGTGTAGTTTTATTTTACAAAATCAGAACAAAGAGACAATAAGAAGACACGGTATGCATGCTCTCCTCAATCTATACCAACCCCTACCCCCACGCTGCTCTCGGAGCACTGTATTTACTGACGTATTCAGGCTAATAAAATGACACAGGGATATCTATCTTTAATAACAGTTTTAAAGGAATTCACAATTGATGTTTTGTTCACAGGTTTGCTATTACCAGGATGGTGCAAGAAACTCCAAAGAGCTGATCACCTCTGATTTAAAATATTTGCTTTCTTGATGTCCAGGTACTAGTCTAGTGGGAAGGGGAATGAAGGGTGGAGACAAGTCAAATAGAAATTGCAATGGAATGGTGTACTGGGATGGATCTGAGAGAAAGGAACGGTAAAGAGGTACAAGCCATGTAGTGGATGGCAGTATAGTTTTGCCAGGGGCATTGTAGCATAACAACAAGAGAGAGGGTTTTGAACTGGATGAAGCCCAGATGCACCGTTTACTACTCATGTAACTGGTGTAAATTCCATCAGCTCTCCAAGCCATGGTTTCCTTATCAGTGAGCGTAATAACAGCACCGTGTGTTACAGGGTTTTATATGAGAATTCAATATAGTAATGCACATAAAGTGCTTTGTAAGGTGTCTGACCGTGTAGTAGCTATCAATACATTTTAACTCCTCTCCCTCCTCCTCATTTTCACCATCTTCCTTTATTTTATTATCATTATCATCACTATAATTATTATTAATGAACTTAGCAGGCAGAAAGAACGCCAGTACCACTGACAAAGTTGTAAGGAGAGAATACCTTGCATTTACGAAGGCTGTATATGTGAAGATGTTTCTTTTAAATCATGTTAACTGTGGTTATGGCAGGAAATGAGAAGGGAGAGGATAATAATAATAAAATTGAAGCTGGGATAAACGATGGGGCCTTGATATGAAGACTTTGCTGTCATCAGGACAGAGGCAAAAGTCATGAGAAACAAAACATTATTTTATAGGACCTGTTTTGGGCTGAGACTTATCATTAAGAAGTAAGAGGTGGCAGGGGGGAGTGTAAAGAATGAAGAATGAAGTAGGTGTCAGAGAAGCAGGAGGATCGAGGGAGGGCCTTGAAAGTCCAGGAGAGATGGCTCAGACGGTGCAGTGGCCCGAAATGTGAAACGCTGTCCTTGCAGGAGCTCCTGTCATACATAAAGCTGCATTTGTGTGTCTTACGTATCCACGAATTTTTCAAACCTTGTATTTTACACATGGAACTTTAATTCAGCTAACACTTTCACGTAGTATAATATCTGCAGTCCTGGGACTAAGCGTTGGTTAACATCCTGTCTGCATGGCCAGTTTATAGACCTGTTATTTATTTTCCTGCTGCAATATTTAGTCAGCCTTTGATTTTACTGATAATTCACCAACTACATAATGTAATTTCTCCTCGATGGCTTACTCTTTCTCCTCTTTGCTCAGCTTGCGTGATTACCATTACCCATTGTAATGCCTTTAATAACCTACAGCATAGAAATGCCAATGTGCTGCCTCAGGTGTTTTGGTGAGAAACCCGGATGAAAGACTCACGTGGATCTTTTGGGCTTGCTCTTTGTCTTCAGGGGTAGGGAGGGAAGAAGTGTGGCAGCTGTTGATGGCCTTGGTGATGAACCCTCTGCCCTGGGCATACCGTTTATCCTGAAAGTGATAGAGCAAACCCAGTTAGGGTTGTTTGGGCATGGAATCAAGGAATCCATCACCAAAAGAGTCACACATTTGATAGATGTATAATTTTATAAAAATGAGAGTCACGTAAAAAATTAAAACTGAAGAATTAAGAAAGTTGCTCTCTTCTTACTTTTTCTTTCCGTTATCTCTATAAACAGTTGTTTTTTTCAATCTAACTTTTCTAAATTCCAACTTCTCCCCTTCTTTGCTGTTCCCCTTAATTTTATCTTCCCCATATGTTACTATCCAGAAAACAAACACTAAAAATATAAAAATATATGAAATATTAAATATTTATTAAGAATCATCTTTCTTTAGTACTTGAACCAAATGTGATAGTGCATATGTGCCTATATTAAACCATTTAATCTCTTGATTATGTGGGATAGAACGGATATACTCCTTTAACAGGCATTATAAAACTATAGCTTTTCTTTGACTAGTCTCTGAATCCATGCAACTATACCATCTTCATCATAGATGCAGAATATAATTTGTTGCCCATGATGAAATGATAAGTCAGAAAAACAGAAACTATTAACCAATGGACTAAGAACAGAAAAATCTATAGCTAACACATTGACAAAAAGAAACTAATCATTAACAAACATTGTGGAAATTTAAAGAGATTACTAGGAAGATGTAGAAGACAAAAGATGGCCAGTCAAAAGTGTAAGATGAAAGAAAAGTTCGTGTATAAAAAGAACTATATAAATACACATTTATTATAAACATTAAGCCACATTCTTCATGGAAACGCTTTGATTTGTTGAAGTTCTAATCCATCGTCTGATCTTTGATTGACCTAGAAGAGTTAACATCCAATTTCCAAAGTACCTTAATCAGAAAGAGAAAAATTGTTTCCAGTTCCAAACAAATCCCTCTATTGTAGTTCTAAACCCATACACTGCAAATCTTAGAACAATAATTCGTAGCATTTCTGAGTTTCAGAAAAGCTAACTATTATTATTAGTTTATTTTCCTAACATGCATTCAGCTTAGTTTAACTTTGTCCAATCCATCCAATTCATGGTGGCGCAGTTCTCATTTATTTGATTATCTGCAGTGAAGAATGCCTTGGGAAACATGTACCCAACATCCAAGGACAAGAAATCAATGCTTCCTTTTCCCCAGCCCTATATAAAAGTTTTTTGTGCCAGGTGTCTGTGACTCCACCCCCAATTCACATGTTGAAGCCCCAACCCCTAATGTACTATATTTGGAAGTAGGATCTTTATGGAGGTAATCAAGATTAAATGAGGTCATAAGGATGAAGCCCTGATCCAGTAAGATTATTGCCCTTATAAGGAGAGACACCAGAGAGTCCCCTGGCTCTCAGCCTTGTTCTCCTCTGGCTCTCCTGTCCTCCCCTCCTTTTGTCCCTGCCTCCATGTGAGGAGACAGAGAGAGAGCATGCTGGGAAGGAGAGCTTTACTAGAACCTGACCATTCTGGCACCTTGATCTCAGAGCCGCCACAACTGTGAGTAAATACATTTCTGTTGGTTAAGCCACCCAGTCTATATGTATTGTGTATGGCAGCCAAAACCAACTAATATAGCTGCTTAAAAATTTTGGAAATTTTAAAAAACAAAATGAATGAAAGGAAATTAAAAAAAACTATTATACTCTTTAAAAATCTTTGGGATCTCATGAAACTGTCCCTTTCTTCTTTCACACGTCACTCGCCGATGACTCCTCTGACCTGTAAGGTGCCTTATTTCAACTTTGGCTCATGTGGCTTTCTGGTTTAAAGAGTGATAGAGCTCAGTCATTCACATGAGGTTCCTTCTGGGAAGCAGCAAGAAGCGTGGTACTTACAAACTCACTGAACATTTCTGAGGAGAGGTTATGGATGTAGTGAGACAGGATGACGGCTCGGTCAAACAGGTCTCGGAGGGACACTTCGCAATTGACAGCCCCGCTGGGACAGATGGGCAGGGAGGCCACACTCCTGCACAGGAGCAGGTTGGACACCAGCAGCAGCGGGAGCAGGAGTGACCCTGCTTAAACAGAAACAGGAGCCGTTCTCAGATGATCTATTCCGCCCAGGTTGTCACAAGTCATCCCTTGGAGGACGGCCTTGTCTCCCCACGGTGCCCTCAGCGGGACTTGGCACTGTCATTCGCTGGGGTGAGGAAGAAGCACCACTTCCCGCTGTGTAAATTTGGATGTATAATTATATTTGCACAGATATATAGCTGGAGAAGTAGGTTAGTCCCTGCGTGTTTGTACTGCTCCCAGAAGGGCTTCTACACCTTGCAAACATTCGGAGCTTAAATTAATGCTGAGCCCTAGTGTTTAAGTCATTCTCTGAGAGAGTTTGGTGTCTTGGGAGTGTCTGCAGACGTCCAGCAGCCAGGCTATCTTGGTATTTGTAATTTTTTAACACTCTATTGACTAACGCTTGCGTTTTTGACACTGAAGTGTCAAGGACAGCACAGTTGGTCTGTTTCTTTCACCTCCTTGACTGATAAGAATAGCACATGCCTGACTGGTGGCTAACATCGAGTATGACGAGCGTGCTAACATCAAATGTGACGCTGTAGCCTAGATCGCCTAACTCCCTTTAATAACCCCACGCGTCTGCTTGACACATAGCCAGAAGTTTTAACATTAAAAAAAAATTGTTTCACAATAGCCCGGTGAGATAGCCTTGGCTTTCATTATTGTCATCCAATTATAGTGATGTACCAGAGGCCGAGAGAGAGGTTAAGGGATTCTCCCTAAGTCCCATTATCCTCAGGTGGAAGAGGCTGGGTGCCAGTGCCGTCATCTCATCACGCCCTCAGGGCCCGCCCGTCAGACTGTGTGCTCTCAGTCGGCAGGCGTGCGGGAGGCACCGCAATCAGCAGCCGTGATGACTCAGTGCTTCCAGAGGCCTTTGCCGTAACTTGTGAAGAACAGTGCTTGACCTTTCATTGCATGATAACAAGGGCCCTAAGAAGCTTGTTTCACCCCCTTTTTTTTTCCTGCTCCATCTATAAAACACCCACTTTAAAAATCTTTTGACAACCATCAGAGAGGATTTAGCCATCAATTTGCTATCTCGACAGCTGGACAGATGTGGACCTCTAACATATCAATAATTTACACTTTCAAAAGGAAAGAAACAATATATGAAAATCACTTTTTAACATCAAAAGGCTCCAGAAGAATATCTGATATTAAAATGTGTTGATCAGAAAACTAAATTTTTAAGGAATCTTCAATAAATGGAATTGGATGTGTCTGAGATAAAACTATGCAAATGCTAAAGATTTCTGTGTGAAAAAATATCCAAATCTAAATACCTAAAAATATCCAAAAGATATTTAGTATAGAATGCTACTAAACAACTTTTAGCTACAAAATAAAAAATATTAATTCTGTAAGATGATTCATATAATAGACTTCTAATTTTTTAGAAACATGATGTTTCCAAAAAGTTGATTTTCTGTACATTAAAGTCACGAAATGTAGCTGGATAGATAATTTGTCTACAGGTACAAATAAAAAGTGCTTTGCAGGTAGATAAATTGGAATATTGGTTCTAGGAAATTCATAACCAGACAGATGTTCCTTAACTCTGACTACATTTATCTGTACATTTATCATCTGAAAGGCTGTCACAGTCTGAGATAATATAAAATTGATAACTATTTTTGTTCTTCATTTCATATAAATTTTATGGTTGTACTAATTTCTTCTTCTTGCAAAGGCCAACCAAGAAAGTAAAGGTGATTAGTTGTTATTAGCTTGTTTTTCCTTTTGAAGTGTCATTTGGCTTAAACCCAATCAACAAAGTATTATAAGAAACACTTCTGTGATCATTGTCTACATTAAGGCTTCAGCATCCAAATTTTATCATGTTGACTCATCTTGACCAAATAACGGGATCCAGAAAATGTTAGTCTCTGTCTCCTGGAGTTGTGATAAATTGGACCTAAAGACACTTTCGGTCTTATTCCAGTCCAGGATTCCTCACCCTTGGCATTATTGGCATTTTGAGCTGAATAATTTGTTGATCTAGGGGCTCTCCTGTGCACTGTAGTTTGTTTAGCAGCATCTCTCACCTCTACCCAGTAGGTACCAGTAACACTCCACCCCCCAATTAAGACAACCCAAAATATCTCCAGACATTAATGATATGTCTCTGGAAGGATTCCTCCATTTGAGAACCACTGTTCTATTCTATTGTGCCATATACAATTGCTTTTTAGAGCAGTGAATAGATAGCTTTTCTAAACTCTTTGAACCCAAAACCTCTTGCTAAGAGAATATTAGCTAAAATTTCAGATTAGTGTCCCCAAAGGAGCACTGATAAAGCCAACAACTCAGTGATTTGTTGCACATACCTTTCAGTGACAATCCTTTGTTGTCCATGGTGGTGATAATTTCGGGAAACACCCTTCGCCAGAGAAGATCTGGTAGTCCCACAGCTTTCTCTTGCCCAGATATTGGCTTTATAAGCCTATGACATCTTTATGAATATATTTAATAAGTATTTTCTTCCCCTTTACCAGTAATCTATTTCCGTCATTGAGATTACCCCCATAATTTCAAACATCAAATGGTATTTTATTTCTTATTCATATTCAGGAAGACATATTGGCCAGAAATGAACATTCTAAGAAGGATTTTGATTAATTAGACCAAAAGGAAATGAGAAAAATAATGAAGGTAAGATCTGGGAACTAGTTTGGGTTAAAAGACTTGTAAAACTCTAGAAGTCCTTTACTTTGAAATTTACCTTTATTTCTCTGCAGTTTCTTGAATAAAGCGTTATATTTCACTCAGGTGTCTCGGGTATTATCAAAGGTCATTCTTTTTTTTTTTTCATTCAAATTTGCTGGGTGAAGTCAAGATTTCAAAACTTACACAGATAACACCAGGAAATATAGAATAAAGATTGAGAAAATCGGATTTTCAGTTCCTCGTTAGACCCTCCTTACATTTCCCTCACTTTTTTCTTGTTTTTAGACATTATTTTGTCCTTTTAAAGATGTTATATGTATGTCTGGTACTTTGTTTTAAAATGTGCACTTTTATTTGCTTATCTCTTTTGGTTTTACCATATATGTAAATTTATATTATCATCCCCAGTTTACAGATTAAGAGACTGAGGCTTGGAGAGATTAAATGTCAAGAATACAGAAGAAGTAATTAGTTGAGGTAGATACTGGAAGGACCATTGCTTCAAGAAGAATCTGGAGGATGCGAAAAGGCTGGGAAATGAATCATTTAACAAACATTGCTGTATACCCGTATCGAAGATGATCAGGAAATCATTCCTGGCCTTAGGGAGTTTATTTTGGAGAAGTGACATAGTGGTTTTCAAGGGCAAACACATACACACGTTCACATATACACATCCTGGTGTATGATGTAGTAAAACAAAATTCTAGGCAATCGTTGCCATGTTCCTCAAGGATAGAGGTTGATAAGCTGTTATGAACATATGATCATTTTATTTCTCTGACCTCGAGCCACTCTGGGGCTAAAGTGACAAAAATTAATCTTTCACGGGCTCAAAAGTTCCATTTGCCTTTTAGAGATTTCCTAAATGAAATGATTATAATGAATACGAACTAAGTTGTTGACGACTTTCTCTAAATTAAGTCCATGCATCTAAAGCAGCCTGTGACCTTTAGTTTCAATTTTACCATATGTCTCTTGTAGTAAATTGACAGATGAGGTAATTTTAAAAATAATCCCTTTCTATGGCATTTCCTTTTTCTCTAGTTGCTGCTGCCTCATTTGTACTTCAGCGATTCTCTAAGTGCTCTTACGGGGGCTTAGAAACCTTTACCAAGACTAACATCACTTAAAAACTACCTTCCTAATTGCCTTAGCTTAAGCAACATCAGATTTTGAATCATATGTATCAGGTGTGATGATTTACAGTTTCTAACAATCTAAAGCTGGGTCGGGATGCCACACACTCAGACAAGGTATCCACTCTGCCTCCTGGACAGTGAAAGTGTGAATTATTAAGAGAGCAGTGCCCTGGGTAGAGAAATTAATGCTGCCCTGCATCCCCAGCCCTCTCCTACAAACTTAAGAGCAGGGAAATCTGTCATAAGAGCTGACAACTTAATCTTTAAATTTAAAGGTGTTGCCACTTTTGTAGATAGCAGGGAAGAGAGTAATCTGAGAAATCCTGAGTTGTGTTTATTCAGTAGAGGCCAAGGGATTTATTTACCTCCACAGAGATCTGTTTTATTTGTGAAATTTTGTGTCTGCTTCCTTGCTGCTTCAAAGCCCTACCCTCCTGATAACAGGATATTGCAATTTCTAAATAATGCACAGGGCATATTTTATACAAAATGTTATAGTTGTCCTATGTTTTCGGCTATATATGCCACCCACCTTTTGCCTGGATTTTGTATGTGCTCTGTTGTGGATCTTTCCTTTCTCAAGCCCTACACTTAATTCAGGGCAATGAAGTTTACTAAGATTGGACTTGTCTGTTTTTATTTACCAAAGCTCATTTGTTTGCCATTTTTGGCCTAACGATTTAGGATTAAACTCAGAGCTGGTGATTAATTCCTGTCAAGTAGCTGAATAAATAGCTCAAATGATGTTAAAGCTTTTTTTAACATGATGCTTTTAGCACCTGAAATTAATAAATTTTCTACCTTTTCTAAATGACTCTAATTTTTAGCATTAAGTAACATAAGGTTGGTTTGTATTCTGAATTAGGTATGGAGCTTGTACTTTCTTTATATTTTCTTTTGCTTATCTATTTTTAAGTTTGAAATGATATTGTTTTTTTCTTCTGTCATTGATGATGCAAAAATATTTAAAATGCTTCACATAACTTGAAAGGTGTCTCAAGTTATAGTGGGGAATATTAAAGAGCAAAAGATATTAAGAGGTTGAAAAATCATCACACTGGGTCACAAGGATGTTCCAATCTATATTAGTAATGAATTATCTTTAATAAAGTGAAATTTGCAAATAATTAAAAGTGTAGTTTATGAATTTAAAAATTCCAAATAGCCATCTTCCAAAACTTGGACTAAACGACAAGATAGGATATATGTTGTTTTCTGTATAAGATATCAGAAAATGTAAAAGGAACATTGATCCAGTGTGACTGAACACTGGATCAATCACAGTGGTGATTTCTTGAATTGCACTGTTGTCAGGATAAGCAAAGTAATGATTTAATTGCTTCAAACTATTTACATTAACTTCATGCATATTAAGACACACATTTCTGCCCCAAGTGCCTGTATTCCATGCTTATCTCTTACTAGTCTTTGCATGTCATCAGTTTTTCTAAGTAACTCCAGAACTCAAGTTCTTAATCTATTGGCAGTGTCTTAAGAGCATTTGCTACTTAAGTGAAAAAGCCATAGTGGAAGCATTGGAAATTTCCTCGATTCCTTTTTCTTTTTGTTTTCACTGATATGATTTTCATATCCTCTGGTCTAGCATTATGAGTTTTCTGTATTGGCTTATTCTATGAGTTTCTTGTCCTATGCTTGTTCTGAACCATCTATCCCTTTGGACAAACTTTAATGCCTGATATAAGACAATGCCAGATCTAAGAATGCTGTGTCTGGAGGCTTCACAGATTCACTCTTTGAGATTACATTTTTCAAGTAAATGCATCAAATATTTTGCTGTATGTTAATGTAAAGTGGAGCAGGTAATAACTTTCATTTTAAAAGATTCTTCATACTTCAATACCGTGTGTGTGTGTGTGTTTGTGCCTTCCTTGTCCAATGGAAAATGGATATGAAGCATGTCAACTTCCAGGAATATCTATTTATCATCTATCTATATCTATCTATCTATCTATCTATCTATCTATCTATCTATCTATCTATCTATCTATCATCTATCTATCTATCCATCATCTATCTATCATCTATCTATCTATCATCTATCATCTATCATCATCTATCTAATCTATCATCTATCTATATCTATCTATCATCTATCATCATCTACCTATCATCATCATCTATCTATATCTAGAGGCATTATCTAACAGAAAGTGGATTGTGAACCATACCAACCGCCAACGTCCAGGGATAATTTAAATCTTATAATTAGCACAGGCACCACTAAAGAGAACAGAAAGCTATAGCAATAGACCAGGGTCCCCAAGGTTCCCCAAACTGACTGCATTAACTCTTTAATTGTTCAATTGTGGTGAGATTCTGGGGATCTTAGTGGAGGGACCGGGGCAGTCAGGAGGGGTTGAGGCACCTGCGAGGTCAGAGCAACAAATCTGTACTGATCTGAAGAGAATTATTTCAATATTCTGACGACTCATAAGGCCACACATGTACTGACTTTCTTCCACTGATAATCATTTTCAATGTATTGAAAGAATTCAGATTGAGAAGTAGGTTTTTCACAGAAAATAATATCTGCCAGTTCCAGTCTACACAACCATCACCCTCCAATACATTTTTCTATTAGGATTTGTTGAAAATATCTTAGCTGTGACTTGTCCATCTAGCTTTTTTCTTATTCATTAAATGCAACTTGTCTTACTAGTGTAACATATACTTTGATATTTAGGGATTGACTAAATTGACTATTGTTTAAAAATGCTCTTTACCATTTGGCGTTGAAATATAAATGAGAATTAATTCCTTGATGGAATGCGCTATTGATCAAAAAATAGATATAGATGATAGATATAGATATAGAGCTAGACAGGTAAAAATGCACATATATAAAAGTATACATATACTTTTAAACAGTGGGGAAAATAAAGGTACAGGGTGGTGATGAGGATTTCAGACACAAGAAGATCACAGACTTTTGGTTCTCCTTAATTCTAATAAAATGAGCCAAAGGTAAGCTTAAAACATACCAGCAAAATTACACCTGTTTCCAAGGTGGAAAGAAATATGAGTGTGTTAATTTTTTCATGGTCATAGCTGGGAATCAACAGATAATAGTCAAGCTGATTTTTTTAAAAAGGAAAAGTGTCAACAGATGATGGATGCAAAGTTGTTACAATCACTAGAAGAATGAAAAACATTATAAACCTTCTAACATCTCAGGAGAAAATATCACACAAATACACATGTACACATGCACACACAGATGATATTCAAAACATTCCATGTAAAAACAGATAGAAAACAAAAGAAACATAAGCAACAAGATACAAAATTAGAGGCCACAATAAGATCAAACATCAAATATATTCTAAGTTCACTTATTAAAAGGATAAAAAATGACTCAGTTTCTCTGAAAATGGCACAACCCAAGTAGATGCTGAATATAAGATATACCCCACACCATCGTTTTCAAAGGGTGAGGAGTTAGGGATCCATTCTGACCCCCACGGGACATTTGCCAACATCTGAAGACATTACTGATTGTCATAACTGAAGGTGGGCGTGCTCCTGGCATCTGCTGGGCGGAGACCGGAGGCGCTACCAAATACCTTACAATTCATAGCACAGCCCCTCAAGCAAAATACATGCCACCCAAAACCTC